AACATGTTAAGCAACATAACTTAACTGTTTCCAATATGATCAGTATTTTCATAAATGTAATGGAATTTTAGTGTGCTGCAAAGAAAAAAAAAAACAGCTGTCTTCATTTTCTCCATCACTCCAGAGTCCCTGGATAATGACTGCATCTCCTCTAGAAGCTTGCTTTAGGGTTGCAATGACAGACAGAGTAGAGGTGCTTTTCTGAGACATCACTATGGTGGCTTTCTTTAATGGCTTAAGAGCCTGTACAATATCCTCTGCTGCCATAATAATAATTATATTACTTTATTAATCTCACACTGGAGAAATTCACGTCTGCATTTAACCCATTCCCTTGAGGAGCAGTGGGATGCCACTGTGCGGCCCCAAGGGAGAAGTGTGGTGTTAAGGGTCTTACTCAAGGACCCAGACTGGCAGGGGTGAGTAAGGCAGCAGAGACAGCTGGTTGTTGTTCCAAGAATCTCTCCAGCATGTCTAAAGCACTGTTTCACCTCGTAGGGACATCAGTTAATAGTTTGTGCTGTGGGAAGTCCAACAACCTCTGAATCTTTCTGAGGGCACGACAGGCCAAAGTACTTTGATGAAAAAAAGCAGAGGTGCATCTTACTCTGCTCAGAAGCCGTGTGACTGCAGCAGTTTTGAGAGCAGACTGTGAAGCCAAATTAAGCACATTGGCAAAACATCCAACATGTACTGTAAGAGGTCAGTGAGATAGACAGCAACTAGCATGTTGGCAGCTTTATCTGTAAAAACAGAGGCTACTTTTCCAGTAAAGCCCCATTTATTTTTTACCTCCATCAACGTGTTCACTATGTTTCTCCCTGTATGACTCCCTGTGAAGCCGTCTGGTCTGAAGAACATTTGAAACCTGGTGGGAAGGAAATGGATCCAGTTTTCTTTTGGGTAGATAAAGGTATGTTTAGGTGTATTTTGCTTTGTTTCTTCTTGCTCTTTTCTCTTATTTAGCATTCTCAGTACATAGTTATTTTCCAAATTCACTAGCATGTTCTTCTGATAGTCTCCTGACGTTTGAGTTTAAACTATTCTTTAAATTCAACAAACTCAATCCAAATTAATCCATTCTTCCATTCTGGCTTTCTGTCTAAGTAACTATTAAATGTGTCCTCTCCACACACAATCGTTTTAATGGCCATGATTTTATGACGTAAATGGGATTTATATATTGTAATTTTATAGTTTTTGTTGAACCCAAGGACACAGACAACCACTTCCAGGGAATTTAGGGAGATCTGAATAAAAAATGATTAAAAGAAAGGAACCTCAATGTCCTGGAGTGGCCTAGCCAGTTTTCTGACCTGAACATAATCTATGTAAAAGCTGACCATCTCTATTTACAGGTGGCAGCCAAAACTCTAACCCACACAAAAAAAAACATGTAAAAAAATTATGCATGTAAATGTGCAATAATTCATGCAAACTTTTTACCTGCTGTGAGAATTGGCAGCAGTCCCACACATTTTTTAGGTCTACAATAACTTAAAAGCAACAAAAACGTACCCAGCTCCCAACTTAACCAAAGAGATCTGACTGTTCATTTAATTTAAACAAAAGGAGGATCATATATATTTTTTGCTTAACAGTGTTTTGCTTTTAAGCTTTATTAAGCCACCATAGGGTCATTTATTAATTTTCTCTCTCTTGGAGCAGATTTTGAATGCTGTTGTTTTTACAGCCATTTTATAAAGACACATCTCCATATTTAACTAGAAAGTTTGGTATAGACTCTGGCTTCCTGTGGATGGGAGCTACCTACTAAACATTACATGGACTCTCAGTTTGACTGCATCCCTTGCCTTTAAAACACATCACTTATTAGACAGAAAAACGAAACACCAAATAAGATGTGGTTACTTTTTATTATGGAAGATATGTTTACAGTATTTAACTTTTTACAGTGCCCAATTTTTACAGACATTTATTAAATATATAACCTGAGCAAAATAAAACAAATGTAGACAAAGGTTCACATGGAGTTAGTGAGAAGGAGCATAAATAAGAAGACACTAGAAATAAAGGATCATCCTATAAAAGGTTAATGTAAGGTTTGCAGACACTTTCCTAAATCACAGCAAAAGAACAAAAAATAAAAAATAAAACCCAGATTTAAACAACCCAGCTTTTAAAGCATCAGCCTGTACAATCTCTAATAAAAGGGTTGGAAACCTTTACATTTAAATGTTCTATTTGAAAACAATCAACAAAATTAAAACTCTAGGGGAAAATAAAACAAAAACAAATTGACGCTAAGCAATAATCTAAAGCAGAGGTCACTGATTAAAGTACTGCGATCCGGATCTGGACCCACCTGCTGGCTATCCAGGCCCAACCTGATTTAAAACATTTATAAATTATCACGTTGTCTGACGACAGTGTCTAACTCCACTTGCGCCGCTTCTCCTGTTACCCCAAAATCCAACATCCTCCGTCTCTGCTGCGCTCCTGACCTCCTGCACAAAGCAAAGCCTACAGCCTCCGCTGTTCCTCCCGTATTGCTGCACTCTGACTTATTATTGGAGCTCAAGGAGAGCATACAAGGTATTATAATTAAATTATGAGCAAAACATGCAGAAACAAACGCTTAATTTAATATGATATATTAAAGAAATCCCCATCAGCATCCAGCAGATGTGTGGTTTCTGATGGAGATGAGAAATCTGCTTCCTGGTCCGTTGAAGTACCAATAGTTTGCATCCAATCTTAAATAACAGTGTTAGGTTTTTGAAAAATATAAGAATTATGCTCTAATTTGTAGTTACCGATCTGTTGTTACTATATTTTAATTTGAAAAAAACAGATCTTCTCACCGTTTTTTTTTCCTGTTTAGTGTGATTGCAATAGCGGATCTTGCCCTGACCGGACCGGAGCAGACCCTGCACATTTAGAGTATGGTTGGCTCAACCTGCTGCTGTGAAGCAGGATTCTCCACCATGAATCAAAAATAAATATGGATCCAGGCTCAAAATGAGCACCTTGATATGTGCTGGAGAATGGCTTTATCTCCATTCAAACCCAGGTTTAAAGCTTTGCGGGGCAGCATAAAGCCCACTGCTCTGATATAGCCACAAAAGAGAAAGAAAAAAAAAGTCAGTTCAGGTGTTATAAAAATATATGTAAATCAGGAAATTGTCAATGTTACAAACTCAAAGATTGTTATCTACTTCAAAAAGCACTTTAGATTTTAAAATGAAAAAAAAATTCTGCTTTGTTTTACTTTTTTATTTAAAAATTCAATGTATAACATACATGCATAAACACCTCTTTTTATTTCCGTGTTAAATTGTGTTAAAGTAACAGATAATTAAAAATGTCTCCCGACCTTTACTGGTTAAGGATTTTCTTTTTTGGACCTCGCTGATTTCTAATTGGTTACCCCCCCCCGATCTAAACCAAACCCAGACATCTCCCCTCCCTCTCAGTCAGTGTGGATTTTCCTTATGAGGCTGATTGTAAAACACCAGGTCCTTGTCAGCACTGCTCATAGGTGCGTTTCTATGGCAACACCAGACCAAGTGACCTCAAAGAAAAAGAGAGTGGTGAGAAGTTCTTACATCGAGAAAGACAAAGACTTAAACCTTCCACCAACGAGTCATTTATTAAATCCCTCACAGTTAGAAAAAGTGATTATTATTTTTTTTATATATATATAATTCAAGATGTTTCCACAGAACTACAAAATATCCTATGGCAAACACCACACTTAATCTATTATACAAACTGTTTTAATCGTTAGAGCAGATAAAGTTAAACTTCTCACTATCATTTTTTTTCCTCCACTGATGTTCTCCTCCTGTCTCCATGGCTCCAGACATGTCACAGTCATCCATTGGTTGCTCTGAGGCCCAGTTCTCATACCTGACCAATTTGTCATTGACCCAGAACCACAAATCCAGAGTGCAGGCGTAGTGCAGTCCCATCCAGACATGATCAGTTGTGGCTTTCTTAGCTATCTCCTGGACTGAAGTTTGCTGAGTTTCATTGGTGATGGTGACCAGGTCATGGTAGTGATCTCTGCAGTAGTCTAAGGCATCCTCCCAGGATTTGTTTTCTTGGACTAGTATCACTTTATCTGCCATAGAGGACATAAACAATTTCTTGTTCAGTGGCATTATTAATTAGTATTTGTAAACAATGATAAAAACGTTAATCAAACAAAATGCTTTGGTTTAAAACGCTTTTAAATGAGAAAATTTCACCACTAGGTGCTCTGTTTAGCATTGTCAGCATACTGATATAAGATGTGTAACAAGTGAACCCTTCTCCACCTCCACTCCAGCTGCACCCCGCCATGCCCCCCCTTACCCTACCTACTGTAGAGCCGGGCAATTCATTGCATTTGTTAAATAATTTAAATTTAAAAAGATGCAATTTTCAAATTAGAGACAGACTAACTATTGATCTCATTTAACAGGATTAATACACTGATTTTCTACCTTGGATTCACACAGAAGGAAGAGGGAGTTGCAGCTTGCACACAGATTCATGTATGCAAATAAAAAATAAACACTTTTCTACAAAATGATTACAGGAAAATCCTCCAACAGTGGACTCTGCACAAGAAAGCTTTCAAGGTAATGAAAAGACTTAAACCCAGAAATGAATTATCTACATGTTGATGGTTAGTGCAAAGGAGAATAAAAAAAAATAAATAACAATCACAACACTGGATAAAGAGATATTCACTTTGTTCAGCCTTACTACCAATCATGTCTTGTAATGAACTCATAATCTAATGCTGATACCAAGAGAGCTTCATTATGGTAGGTGATTGTCTTCAGGTGAGCGTTTTGATCCACACATTTTTCAAATTTGTTTTCTTTCTATCTCAAATAATAAATTATTGCTTATTGTTCCTTTAAATAATGGATGCTGATGTATGAATGTCTTTTTTGAAAATTGATATTACCATGAAGAGCTAAATCATACATAATAGAAAAATAAATAATATATTAAAATCAGAAGAGGTGCCTAAGAAATCTCACCATTATAACAGATGAAGGGTTTTTTCTGATCACAGCTGTCAGTCTTCCATCTGCCTTCATCATCAAACACAGCCATGGCACATCGACCAGTGTTGGTTCCCTCATTGTTTGGCAATGTCTCCCAGTGTCTGAAAGAGAAACTGCTTCCATCTGACCACCTCCAGGTGTCTCTGAACAGACCAAAGTATATGTGTGTCCCAGCTACCACAGATTTCATCACTTCCTTCAGTTCTCCATCCTGTAGCTGCTTCATTCCACTGATCAGGTCTGTGTGTTTCTCTCTGCAGTAACTCTGAGCTTCCTGCCAGGTCTTCTTCTCTCTAATCAAGTGGTATTTCTGGGTTCTATTAGTTTCTGTGGAGTAAACAGATAAACTCACATCACATTGACTTTACATGTTTTCTTGTTTGTAGGAAAAATACTCAGTAAAACAAAGAGAATAATTTGACAACCCATAAACAAACTACAGAAAATTAAATCAACATTCTCACCATCATAACAGAGGAAATGGTATTTATGTTGGCAACCAGTATCTCTCCATCTAAGGTCATTATTTAAATATCCACAGTTCTCATTTCCATTTCCTTTATCACTTGGTTCTCCTGGTTTCCAGTTTGTCTCACTTTCATTGAACTCCACTCCAGGCAGAGACCAGTACCATGTTCTGTTAACATCTGTCTGATTAGACAGACCAATCCAAACGTCCCTCTTATCTCCTGCTCTGGTACTGAGGAGTCTCTTCATGTCTGCCATGTTAGACACTGTGGCCAGGTCAGTGTGTTTCTCTCTGCAGTACTGCTGAGCTTCAGTCCAGTTCTTTTCCTCATTAATGTAGAGATACTCATAGAGCTGACAGTTGATGAAACAACTCTGACCTGAAAATATAAAAATGTTGCTGTATTTAGCACTAGATTATAAATCTCCACCGGCATTTGCAGTAGGTCTTAGTTTAGGTTTTTGTAGTGTTATAGGGGTGAAGTAGCTGAGGGGAGGTTGTCTTGTATTAAAGGCCAGTTGCCATTTGAGCCTTTGCTCCATTTCAGGAGCTCCTTGGTAAAAACTGCTGATTCAGTGGCTTTGCTTCTGGCTGCTCCAGGGCAGCTGTGGTTACAGTGTAGCTGAACACAATCAGCATTTGAATGGATGAATGACTAAATATGAAGCACTTTGCAGTTAAGAGACTTGATAAAACATTATACAAGTTTTATTTTTTTAAGTCTGTAATGTATCACAAACCAGTGAGTGTAGCTTTATTTAATATCAACTTACCCATCAGAATGAACAGAACCAGATTCCACTGCATATCTGCTGTCTGGAGAGAATTTTTCTCTGTTGGAGGAAAAAGACATTAAATACTTTAAATCAGGATCTGAAAACCTGCAGCTCTTCCTCCACTGTACAGAGAAACAATGATAGGAGAGGAGCTGAAGCCAAACAGGAAACAGATCAGAGAACAAAAAACTGAAAAGTTTAATGTTTACAAATAAAAAAGACCTTTAAATAAATAAAGACATTACAAATAAATAGATAAAGCAGATTCTAATAAGGTTGAATGCAAGAACAGATTGAGCTCAAACCTTCCTCTGCTTCCTTTCTCCTCACTAAATGGGATGTTCCTTTCTTGATGCTCTGCTGAAAACTGTCCCACTAAACTGTTGGTATCTTTGTTTTGCTGATTTCTGAACAGCAGATGAATTTTACCATCTCACAATTTAAATATTCAAAACTGGATGCAGTAGGTGCATGGATAAACCAACGTCTGTAACAGGGTGGAACAAATTATTTGAATATTTATGACCAAAAGTCTGATAAAACTAAAAGCCTCTATTCACCATTGTGTGTCTCAGGTGAGAGTCCAGCTGTATTATCTGACTGCTAGTGTTTACCATGGAAATTATTTCCCTTTTTCATAACATCAAGGTTAGTTTACAGACTCTTTATTGAACAAATTTATTACATGGCCAGAAAAAAAAGTTTAAAAGGTGCATTTATGAGAAAAATACATTTAGCTGATAAATCAACAGAAATTAGGTGAAAATTGTCACTGCAACATTTTTAAGCATTTTATTCATAACACTTTTTTGTTTCCTATTTGATTCATGTTTTGGTTTATCAACTCTTAAGGCACATTCACTATGAATGTGAATACAGTGAGTTATTTCCATGTTATTCCAATGTAAGGGTGCTTTCTGGTGCAGATAAATGGTCACTGATGTATTTCCAGCAAGGTGATTGGCTCATATTACAGCGAAGCATCATTGCAAAAAACACAGCAGACCTGCAGATATATTGAAGCAGCACTGGCAGTAGGGGAGGTGGTGGCATGGATATGGATAGAGTGCAGTGAAATTTTACAGGTTGATCCGTCCTCCTGCCTCAACCCTGCGGATCCTGATACCAGGTTCTGTTCAGATAGAAGTACAGCTGGAAGTGATCATCTAGTCCTAGCTCCTGCAGCAGGTGGTGGTACTGGCCAGACTGGAAGCAGTTTTTACAGCATGCCAAGAGTCACCCTGTAAACTTGAGCTCAGCCAAGGCACAGAAAAGCAACAAATAAACACGAGTATTATTTGATGATGTGGTGGAGCGCCTGGGCAGAAGTTTGCTATGGTTTCTTAGCAAATTCTACACAAGAAAAAGGAAGAATGTGAAGTCAGCAACTCTGGGTGAATCATATGGAAAATTTACAGCTCTCCTGTTCAATAAGAATTAATCTGTGTCCTTTATTGTTACTTTGATTAATAGATAATTTTGTTTATTACAATTCTATTTTTGCTGCTTTCTGTTTATTGATGTTGGAGCTTGGAAAGTTTTTCAGTGTAGTCCTGTTTCTCTGACTGTGCTCTCTTTCATCCTCTGACATGGGAGCTGGTTCGGAGCTCGTCTACCTGGCTGTGTGTTTCCTAGAAGGGACCGCCCCTGTAGCTGGTTGACAGTGACCTTTTGTATCTGCTTCTTTTTGTATCTCTGCTTCTTTTTGTCTGCTTACGTCTTTTTGAACCCCAGTCGGCCTCAGCAGATGGCCGCTCACACTGAGCCTGGTTCTGCTGGTTTCTTCCTGTTAAAATGAATTTTTCCTCTCCACTGTCGCTAAAAGCAGGCATTGCTGAAAAGTCAACAAATTAACATTGTAACTGCAAACTCAACCAGGAGGAGCATGTCTTGCAAGTCAGTGACTCTATACAATCAACTGGTTTTCCATGTCATAATCTTGTAACCAATCTGACAGTACCGTGAATTAGCTCTATATGAATAACCTGAATTCATTTGAATTGGAAATGTGTTAATTTTATCTCTGCAATACCTTCACAGTAGAGCCGTGATCTTCTTTTTAAAGATAATTAAGTACCGTCTATTAATGTTCCTTCTTTTGTTGAATCAAAAAAAACAGACTGGGGGATGATTGGAGGAAGAAGGTGGGAGTGGGAAGAAAAAAGTGGAAGGAGGATGCAGATGGAGACCTTAGTTCAGGAGCGCTGGAACGAGGTTGGAGAATGCACCGAACTGATCCAGGGTTTTTTTCAACAAGTTGATTCAACACTCCTAGTCTGTGACTTCTGAGGTGTGTTGAAGCGCGATGGAGGTGAAGCAGCCAAGACGAGAACCACGGCTGATCTAAGGGAGACTGCAGCGTAGCGGAGGCTCATTTGTTGCACCGCATCCTAGCATCAACAGGCCTGCAACAAAAATTAAAGCGATACCGAACTGTGTGTGTGTTTGGGCCCACTTGTAGGTTTTCTAGTGTTCCTACGGGTAATTTTCCTGTAAAGGTATGGGGTGCTTTTTATGCCAAAAAATGGGATTCTAGTTTAGCAAAACAATGTTGAACTAGTTTTTGCATTTAATTGAGAGAGATTTAAATTTTGGTAAGAGCCTTTATAGTTAGTGTTTTTTTATTTTTTTTTTACATTTATCTGGGTCGTTATCCCAAGTTTGAGTTTTCATTCGAATTTTATTCGTAAACAAATGTTTTTCTGTGTTTCGGTGTCTTGTGTTCTTATTAAACAAAATTGTTTTAATAGCAGGTTGTCTGGAATTATTTCAGTTATTATACTTATGCGTGGTGAATAGTTATTAGAGCAATACGTTTTGGCTTAAGTTAGGTAAACCTACATGGTACCTGCCTGAATTTAACGAATCCAAAACAGCAACCCACTATTTTATTTACTTTCTGGTCCCAGTTATTACATAATAAGGGCAGAGGGGTGCTACATGTGTTTGAATCATACAGTCTGACAGTTTAATTTAAGGAAAGAAGCATTACATACAGAGTCACAGTTTTAGGAAACCTCACATTCAGTTGTAGAAATGAGAATTTTTTTTTCAAAATGTTTCACTTAAAACAAAAAAGTTTCCTTTGCATCTTAAGACTTAGACTTACTCAGACTTAGAAAACTTTATAGTCATTTTGTATACATAGTGTTTACATGATATTTCCATTCCATAAAGTGCAGCAGTGATCAAATGTAAACAATGTGGGAGAAAAAACATGGTGCAAAAAAATTCATTGATATGGAAGTTCAGAGCATTAATATTTATGGTGCAATTATGCAGTGGGGCTCGCGGAATGATGTTTAGGGGTTCCTGTATAGACGCACCAAGGTACTGTGTGAGTGTATCTTTTTTTTTTTTTTTTTTTTTTTTCTCTCTCTCTCTCTCTCTCTCTTTCTCTATCTCTCTCTCTCTCCATCACTCTTTTTGTTTTTTAATCTCTCTCTGTTCCACTCTCTATCATTGCCTCTTTCAGTTTGCATTTGTCAAGCCCAGCGATATGATGTAAAATGTTGCTATAAAAATGTGTAATTAAAGAAATAAAATTAATTAATAAAATAATAAGGATAAACAGTTCACTATGGTTTAGTGGTGAGCTCAGATCCTTCATGCTTCTGAGAGATAAGAATAGAAAAGTCTATTGTAAAGTGAGGAACCAAATACAAAAATTAAACCACATAGAAAAAAGAAATTATTTTAACATATTTTTCATCAACAAGGTCAACGGTCTGAGATTTCAGATGAACTTAAAGGTAAACTGTTCTAATATGATCATTGATTTAATGGATGGAAACATTTGCTGCTTTAACCTCTTAACATCCACCTCATTTTGGGTAATCCTCTCCTATTTTGCATACCCATATTAAAAGGCAAATAACTTAGGAACTGTAAACCCAAATTATGTGTGCAATACTTTTTTTGAAAGCTAACACCCTCCAGTTTCTGAATATATAAATTAAAATTGGGTAACTAGAAAACAGACCAACCTGCATCAGTTCAAGCATTAATCAAAGTTGTTTTTTTATTCTCAAAATGATAGGTCTTTTTTGAACAGCAGTAATTGTGTTATTGTTTTATATTTGTTCTACATCATGTCAACCATAAATGCAGAACATTTAAGACCTCTAGATTTAATAGTTGGGGAATGGAACTTTAGGTGTCAGCTTGGAGCTGCGCGCAATGGCTCCATCTGCTGGTAAAAATTTTACCAGTGGAATTTTATGCATTCTGAGTTATTACCCCACTTAAGGTTTTAAGAGGTTAATCTGGATATTGTGGATTAAAAACAGTTAAAGATAAACTACAAGGTTTTTCTAAGGATGCTTTATCTGGTGTTGATGACCTTGAAGGATGATTAAAATGGCTGCCAATATGCTGGTTTTTGTCTCTCTAAAATTATTACTCTACCTAAAGTTAGAAATGTAATCTTAACTGGCACTAACTGTACACTGGTTAACTCCCTGTGCTTAGTGAATTATTAGTAAAAACAATTCAATCAAATTATCCAATGTATTAAAGAAAATTCAATCCTTAAAAGAGTTCCACAGGGTTCAGGGTTACTAACAATGCTCTACAGAAATGAAAGATCACCAGTTAATGGATAAAAAAAAAATAATAATAAAATACATTTAAAAAAACAATCTGTGAGGTGTGTTGCTGGATTTCATAGCAGCTTTGCTGTCATTGATCTTTGCATTATCTAGAAAAACCCTCCTCTGGAAGAGTGCACAGAATGAATGACATCTTACCTTTCTGTATGTCTGAGTGTATACAAAAAGAAATGTAGTTTAAAACAGTTCTAAACAATTTCTTATTTTAAAGTGCAGCCTTAGAAAAAGTAATAAATACATAAAAAAAATAGTAATATAAACAAATGATTGTATATTTACTGTTCAAAAAAATATATTTTTTTCTTTTATATGAATAGAATAACCAATTTTACACACATTCTGCATTCTAATGGCAGTGGGGAAGAAACTGTTATGGAATCTGCTGGATCTGCATCGGATATTTTGAAGCTTCTTCCCAGAGGGCAGCAGGTAGAACAGTCCTTGGTGGGGGTGTGAGGGGTCATTTATGATGTGCGCTGGGATGAAATGTCTTTATTGGAGGGAAGAGGGAGAGTTAAGAAGTGCATTTTAATGGAAGTTCATCCAGAGCTAAAGTTACATCATACAGTCAACCTCAAGGAACTTTAATGGGACGACTTTAATTTTCTCTATTCATAAATGACTTCGCATGTTCAATTAGGCTGATAAAGTCATTTATGTGGATGATGATGTTTTTTTTTATTTTGCTTTTTGTATTTTTTATTTTATTTTTTTGTCATACACATCAATTTCTAAACAGAGCACTACTTTACAGCGAGAAGATATCTGACAGTAAAGTGGAGGGAAATGAAGAAATTGGTACTAAACTAAAGTTTTTAAAATGTGTTTTTGAAGAGAAATGTATTTAATCAGTGAGTTCAGTCATGTACCAATGATCTCCATCTGTCACTAGAGGGAGCACTGGTGCAGCAGGTCTCTAAGGTTAAGCTGTTGGGCTTTAGATTGGAGCAAACCAAATTAACCATAATATTAGATTGATGGGCAGAGGTACAGATGTTCTGCTTATTGTCCAACTTCTGTCCTAAAAATGGTTACTCAGAACATTGCGCTGAGTTGTCTTCATCTTTGTCCAGTTCTGTGGTCCAATGCTGCACAGAAGCATTTATGGAAACTTCAGAGCTCAGAATAGATCAGGTAGAAATTAATTTTCTCTAAAAATGAGATCTACTGCAACTGTCTCAGTTAAAGATAACGGAAAATCTACAGGCATCCCTTAAATGTTTATGCACACAGTTCTGATCGACCAACAGCCTGTTTTTCTATGTTAAAATCACTTCTAGTGAGTTTTGTCACCACTGTGTCACAGTGTGTCTCACCCAGTGAGTTCAGATTCTCCTGTGGTCCTCAGGCACAATTCAGTTTCTATGAGAAGGACTGATTTTAACAGAGGCCCAAATGCAGGAATAGTTTTCCATCACAGAGACAAAAAGAAAAAAAATTCTTTAACCAAATAAAAACCAAAGGTCGCTTAGTGAGGTTACTGAAAACATGACAATGTACTGTCCTCCCTCCTTTTTAAAAGGTCTTTTGTAGTTTTTTTTGTTTGTTTGTTTGTTCTCCAATGCAAATACTTTTTTGTTTACTTTTGTAATTTATTTATATTTTTATGTTATTTACATTTTTTTTTTCTTGGACCCCAGGAAGGCTATAACCACCTTGTGGGAACTAATGGGATCCAAATAAAGAAAAGATTAAGGAGTAGCTCCATAAGAAGCAGCTCCAGGTCCTGAAGTGGCCTAGCCAGTCTGCAGACCTGAACCCAATCCAAACATCTTTGGAGGGAGCTGAAGGTCCATGTTGCCCAGTAACAGCCCTGAAACCTGAAGGATCTGAACATCTGTATGGAGGAGTGGTTCAAAATCCCTGCAGCAATGGGAGCAAACCTCGTCTAGAAATACATGAAATATTTAATATCTGCGATTATAAACAATTAAAATGTTTTGTTTCTAGTATTTGACACACCTATAATTTTAACCAAGAAATTTGTTGCAAAAATCCAAGCCCAGACTTCCTGTTAACTGAGAATAACAACTGACAGTACACACACCTTTAAAAATCTGTTATTAGGCCTCGATGAAAAAAAAAGTAGACTCCAGATAAACCCAAAAAGGAATGAGAACACTAAAAAAATCAAGAGTCAGACACATTTAATGAGTGAACAGGTGTGATTACTTTTTCTTAATGTATTTGATGTTTACTGTATTTATATTATTCATTCTGTATTCCTGAAGTAACTGCACACTAGCGCCCCCTATTTACAGTCAGCCAATAAATATATAACCATAACCTGATCAAAATAAACGAAAAGTAAAAGATGTTCTATTTAGAGAAGCAGATGTTTCAAAGAAAGAAACCAGAAATAAAGGATAATCTGTAACAGGTTTAAAGCAAGTGCTGTAGTTTGTTGAAAGTATAATCTCTATACTAATAATTAAAATGCTTGTGCTTTTTAACTGAAAATATTTTTTGCACAAAATCCTCAGTATCACAGAATAAAGCAACACAAATAATCTATAAATCAGTGTTATTCCTTAGAACAGATGAAGTTAAACTTCTCTAGATCATTTATTTTCCTCCACTTAAGTCCTCCTCCTGTCTCCATGGCTCCAGACATGTCACAGTCATCCACTGGTTCCCCTGAGGCCCAGTTCTTATACCTGACCACCTCATCACTGACCCAGAACCAGAAATCCAGAGTACAGGTGTAGCGCAGTCCCATCCAGACATAATCAGTCGAGGCGTTCTTGGCTTTCTCCTGGATCCATCTCTGCTCATCCAGGCTGGTGATGGTGACCAGGTCATGGAAGTGATCTCTGCAGTAGTATAAGGCATCCTCCCAGGTTTTATTTTCTTTGACCAGGATCACTTTATCTGGCATAGAGGTGATGGATAAGATAAATAATATGTCACTAACTATATCATTATTCAGAGGCAACGACCGAATGTTTTAAAACTGTGGTTTCAAGTTACTCATTTTTTTTAATAATTACATAGAATTGGATGATTGGGATATAAATCTTCAAATGGTGAATTGTTAAATGCTTTCAAAATATATTAAAAAGACAATCATACATAGGAGATAAAAAAAATAAATCCTACACAGGATAAGTTTTATGTAAACAGCTCACCATCATAACAGATGAAGGGTTTTTTCTGATCACAGCTGTCATTCTTCCATCTGCCTTCATCATCAAATACAGCCATGGCACATCGACCAGTGTTGTATTTCTGATTGTTTAACTGGTCATTCCAGTGTCTGAAAGAGAAACTGCTTCCATCTGACCACCTCCAGGTGTCTCTGAAGAGACCAAAGTATGTTAAAATCTCTGTAAAGTTCATCACTTCCTTCAGTTCTCCATCCTGTAGCTGCTTCATTCCACTGATCAGGTCTGTGTGTTTCTCTCTGCAGTAACTCTGAGCTTCCTGCCAGGTCTTCTCCTCTCTAATCAAGCTGTATTTCTGGGTTCTATTAGTTTCTGTGGAGTAAACAGATAAACTCACATCACATTAGCTTTACATGTGTTCTTGTTTGTAGAAAAAATACTCAATAAAACAAAAAGAATAATTTGACAACCCATAAACAAAATACAGAAAAGTAAATCAACATTCTCACCATCATAACAGAGGAAATGGTATTTATGTTGGCAACCAGTATCTATCCATCTAAGGTCATTATTTAAAATTCCACAGTTCTCAGGATTTCCATTTCCTTTATCACTTGGTTCTCCTGGTCTCCAGTTTGTCTCACTTTCATTGAACTCCACTCCAGGCAGAGACCAGTACCATGTTCTGTTAACATCTGTCTGATCATACAGACCAATCCAAGCTTCCCCCTTATTTCCTGCTCTGGTTCTGTTGAGTCTCTTCATGTCTGCCATGTTAGTCACTGTGGCCAGGTCAGTGTGTTTCTCTCTGCAGTACTGCTGAGCTTCAGTCCAGTTCTTTTCCTCATTAATGTAGTGATACTCATAGAGCTGACAGTTGATGAAATAACTCTGACCTGAAAATATAAAACATTTTGTGTTGAACAAAATAGTAAAAGCAAATCTACATTCTAATATGTAATGTTTTCTATAGTTATCAGTTAATTTATCTGTGTTAACAAATCAGCCATCTCTCCATCTCACCAGCTGAGTCTGTATATTACTAGAAACCAGTGAGTGTAGTTGTGTTTAGATAAATTTACCCATCAGAAAGAGCAGAATCACACTCCACTGCATCTTTGATATCAGCTGGAATATTTTTCCTTGAAGAGTTTGACTCTGTTCCAAAAGCAAAGCAAAATTGAAAATGAAATGTTGTTTTTGTCACACCCACAAGGTATTAATAAGCACTAATAAAGACCAAAGAGCTTTTCTTCTTATTCTGTAATTTCTCTAAAGAGAATTAAGTCGTATTCAGGTTCAGATTGTAAACACTGGAAGTGGCGAAAAAGTGAACATATTTTGTATTAAGTTAAGTTAATTTAGGTGTTAATAAACTGTTTCAGGGGAGCGATCATAGCAATCTGCAGCAGCAGTGCTGTGTCTGTCTCCCTGCCAGATACCAGATCAGCTTCTGTAATTGTAATTTAACATGTTGAGCAGTAAAAGTTAAATCTTTCAAACTCCAGCAGCTGTTGCTTTGGAAGCGTGTCCCATGCGTCAGATGCTCAGAAGCTCAAGAGACGCTTCTTTGTCTGCTCAGAAGCGCCAAAATGAGCTGCTCCTGCTGCACAACATGAGCTGCAGGACCTTTTAATGCTCCTTGATGTTTGTCAACTATATACTTTGCATGTGTTAAAGTGTGGAGGATTTGTCCCCTTGGAAGTAAAGGCTATAGCGCCCCGGGGGCCTCCTCACCGGTTCTTTTCCTGGGAGCAAGTTATTTACTACTCTTAACTCAAACTCGGTAAAACCATATAAAAAAGGGACAATAAAAACAGGAGTAAAAAAGTAACAGAGTTTATTCCAGATCAGGTCGTTACAGGACAGAGAAAAATGCTTAGAGCTATGCACAGCTGTGGTCTCAAAAATCACGTCCGCAAGCGTCCGGCAAAGTTTGAGCCCCGAACAACGTCATCTCCTGCTTCTTATACCTTCTGAGTCTGTGTTGCATCATGTGGATGCTTAGCTGTCCGTATCAGAAACTGACACGCCATCCATGTCTTGAACTCCATGCAGGTTGCCTCTCTGTCTCAGGGTTACAGATACAGCAGCTCTCCTATCAGACCGGCTCCAAGATGTGCCCATATCCTGTGCACTCTTAGAGACACGAAGGCTGTCTTGATTAGATGACCTCCGTACACACCGTGATATCCACAATGTGAAGGAAGGCCTTCTGCTCTGTCTAATCTGACTAACAAATTAACAGTGCACATGATGTATAAATAATAAAACCTAACACATGTAATCTAGCTGCTCCTGCTCCCTCTATTATGTGCGGTCTGAACATAGCATTACAGTGAGCATCATGTAAGTTCTATACATTCTGTCACATCTGTCTGTCTTCCTAATCTCAGCTAAAAGAAAAATTAGCCATATTGTTTCAATTTCAAATGTCTCAATATAATATAGTTACTTGGAAGCACCGTCTTGGATATGTCTGTGGTGTTACAGGGGTTAAAGTATGAAGGCCAGACATTGCAGGTTTAATCCTGGCCTGTCACATTGTGATTTAATGGGTTTAATGGGAGAGGGCAGGTCCTTTTTAAAAACATCCACTCTGGGTCCCTAAGAAAGACCCAAACTGCTCCTCAAGGGGATGGGTTAAATGTTAATGATGAGTTAATTTTGTTCCTTTTGCACTTGTGACATACTAATCTCTCAGTCTCTCAGTTGAGTCTTGCTTAGGGCCCCCAGATGTGCTGAGTCAGCCCTGCATGAACCTAAGCATTTCATGTTCATTGCAGGTAGAGGATAAAGAGTTCCAGAAAAACATTTGAAGAAGCCTTCAGTTTAGCTCTGCCTCCGACACTCAAGCCTATAGACTCTAGTTTACATTTTTAGCTTGTTGTGACACTGAAACCACCTCTCATTGAATAGAAGCTATAGAATATGAGAGCCTAATGATTAATTTTAACTTTTTTCAGGCAATGTTTGATTTCTCAGTGTCTGCATTATCCAGCGATTACATTTTTAGTGTTTAAATTTTCAGTGTTTAGTTATTCACTGATTTATTTAATGAAATCTATTTTTGATTTCAGTGCAAGCTGTCAGTAGTTTAGATCCATCAATACTCAAAATCAGAAATATTACTAGAATTCTAGATATTCAATATATGAAGATTTTATTTGCAAAAACAGATAACTCAATTTTTATAAATTTTCAAAAAAACATACTCGTTATTAGCAGCGCCATGCAAAGAGTAAATAACATGTCTCAGCTCATTTTTTGAAAAATGTCTTTAAATCGATTTTTGCAAATGAACTCTTCATATATAATGATGAAAATAAATTATTATTACATCCTTGTTTTCAATTTCATGTAATACTGCCTAACTAAAAATCGAGCAATTGAAGAAAATAAGGGTGGTTATTTTTTTTTTCAGGACTGTCTGCATTATATGTAAGAAAAACTTAAATTTAGTTTTTTTTTTACCTGATGAACTTGAATGTTCCCTTCCTGATGTGCAGCTGAGTACTGTCCTCAGTCAAATGTTAATGTGCTTCAGACACAGATCTCTGTATACCAGCTAAATTTAAATATTCTACAATTTGAATATTCAAACCAGGCAGGTCTCGTGTTTTTCTTGAATCATCTATAAATAATGAAAAGGAAGGAATATTTATCAGTTACATTTTTTAGAAAACGTTTTTTATGCAGCACTGCATGTAAGGATATAGCTTCTCAGCATAATGCAGGGCAAAAAATAGTACAGTGTGTGACCAGCTTTATAGGTACCACCTGCCTCACATGTTTAAATGCTAGAAACTCAGGCCAACATCTCTACATCTTCCATACCATAATTAACTATAACCCTCCACAACATTATCTTTGCCCTATGTGCCACTTAGAACCGGTTAAACAAAACTAACTCAGCAGTAGGTTCTACCCCTGTGTGTTGGTTAGTTTACTCATCGAAATGATGGATATGAAGTCAGTTTAAAAAAGAATATATAATGATGCATTCATGCCAACCCAATAATAAAGGTTAAGTACATGGGATGAGGGCGGCATAGGAGGGTCGCCAGTTGTACCTCAGCTCTGTCCATCTCAGTCGATGTGTCCTTAACGAGGACTCTTTAAATAATTGCCTACTGATGGTGGTCAGATGGTCCAGTGGTACCTACTGTATGACAGACTCACTTCAGTCAGTGTGCTCCAGAGGAGCTGGGTTACAATCTAGCTTGCCAAAATCAGTGTGTGAATGAATAAACATACAGGGAAGAGCCATAAGTTCATGTCAATAACATATAATTACAGACAAAGCAGGACGTCATGTGATCGCATACTTGTCACATACTACATATACTGATTTGACTCCTACTGAGTTGGAGTCAAATCAGTTCAAATAAGAAAGAAAACAGATGCTAGACAAAAAAATATCTAATTCACTGAATGATGAAAAATGTCTAAACCAATATATATATAATTAATAATACTTTTTGATGTTTTATCTGTGAACTGTGAAAATTCTTCAAGAGAATGGGTTAATATTTTATCATGAATCCTGTACTGGAAAAAACAATCTAGAAATAACAAAAAATTCTCAAATTTTGTGTATTTAGTAGGTAAATAAGATAAGAGTATTTTTACTTTTAAAATAAAATTATTTAGATAAAATGCACTTGAAATAGGACCATGGAACTGTTTTTTCTTATTTTAAATGTAAACTGTCTCATTCCGTTGGCAAAATGTCTCTTTTACCTTCTCAATTCAAAAACAAATGCACTTATTTTAAGAAAAAATACCTATTTAGATTGTGATTTTTTCCAGTGTGTCTGATGGATAGTTTTCTTGGGATGGCTGTTTTCCTCTCCCTGTTCTGCATATTCTGGTCTGATTAAACCAAAAGCAAACAGAGCGCTGAAGGCAGGGGAGAGGCTGTGTCAGACAGGAAGAGGACAGAGGTACATCAGACGGTACAACAGCCAGATTCCACTATATGAATTGAAAGCTACATTTTGTGACTATTTCAAAACATTCTTTGAGATAGGGCCAAGGATGAGGGAGGTCTTGTTGGTCTCTGTCTCCCGATACGCTCTCGCCTGTGTCCGACCTTTCATCTTTTTCTGAATCCTACATTGTAGCATGGCATAGACAAATCACGTTTGCAGTTTGAAGAACACCTCCTTGCTTCTGATGATTTCCTTTAGCTAACCAATGAATATTTGCGTTATATGACTCATCCAATGACACTAGTTTTCACTAGATGTGGATGGCTCCAATGATCTGCATTGGATGGCGCACATGACGTGAAATAAATATTTATAAACATTAAAATAAAGCCAAGAGTAATGTTTGTTTTAAAAATATAAGGAAAATAAAGTTCAGATACTTGTGTAAAAATGCAATGAGTTAGAAGTAGGAAGAAAATTAAGCAGTCGAGTAAAGTGTAGTTACCTAAAAAGTGTACTCTTGGTCATCTTCATTCCACCAATATGTTTTTCTCCCACCCATTTGAAAATCAGTCCAGTGTCAGGGTACATCCTGTGCCTTTTGGGTTTCTGTGCCTGGCCTACCGTTACTGGATTCCTAATGAGAGCAGGCCAGGTTTCTGACTCAGTTCATATTTGGATGGTTTTCTGCCTGTCATCAGTTTGTCCTACCTGCATCCTGCTACTCAAAGCTGTCTTCTACTCTGTTTAGTCATTTTCTGGATTTTCAAGTTTCCCATCAGCCAGTTTAGCCTGTCATTGTTTGCTCCTTCCTGCGATCTATATGCTATGCTTGTTACTATCTGGTTTAGTCGTTATCTGTCAGCTAAAGCGTGCTGCCAGATTGCAGACTAAGCAGGGTTTAGAGAACATATATAGCTGTATATTAACAGACAGAAAGTACTTCCAGTGTTTAACTGGTTAACTTTCTCACTTGAGAAAGAATAAAATAAATATATACACTCACCGGCCACTTTATTAGGTACCCCATGCTAGTAACGGGTTGGACCTCCTTTTGCCTTCAGAACTGCCTCAATTCTTCGTGGCATAGATTCAACAAGGTGCCGGAAGCATTCCTCAGGGAGTTTGGTCCATATTGACATGATGGCATCACACAGATTTGTTGGTTGCACATCCATGATGCGAATCTCCCGTTCTACCACATCCCAAAGATGCTCTATGGGATTGAGATCTGGTGACTGTGGAGGCCATTTGAGTACAGTGAACTCATTGTCATGTTCAAGAAACCAGTCTGAGATGATTCCAGCTTTATGACATGGCGTATTATCCTGCTGAAAGTAGCCATCAGAAGTTGGGTACATTGTGGTCATAAAGGGATGGACATGGTCAGCAACAATACTCAGGTAGGCTGTGGCGTTGCACCGATGCTCAATTGGTACCAAGGGGCCCAAAGTGTGCCAAGAAAATATTCCCCACACCATGACACCACCACCTTCAGCCTGAACCGTTGATACAAGGCAGGATGGATCTATGCTTTCATCTTGTAGATGCCAAATTCTGACCCTATCATCCGAATGTCGCAGCAGAAATCGAGACTCATCAGACCAGGTAACGTTTTTCCAATCTTCTATTGTCCAAATTCGATGAGCTTGTGCAAATTGTAGCCTCAGTTTCCTGTTCTTAGCTGAAAGGAGTGGCACCTAGTGTGGTCTTCTGCTGCTGTAGCCCATCTGCCTCAAAGTTCGACGTACTGTGCTTTCAGAGATGCTCTTCTGCCCACCTTGGTTGTAACGTGTGGTTATTTGAGTCACTGTTGCCCTTCTATCAGCTCAAACCAGTCTGGCCATTCTCCTCTGACCTCTGGCATCAACAAGGCATTTCCGCCCACAGAACTGCCGCTCACTGGATGTTTTTTCTTTTTCAGACCATTCTCTGTAAACCTTAGAGATGGTTGTACGTGAAAATGCCAGTAGATCAGCAGTTTCTGAAATACTCAGACCAGCCCTTCTGGCACCAACAATCATGCCACATTCAAAGTCACTCAAATCATCTTTCCCCATCTTTCCCCATACTGATGCTCGGTTTGAACTGCAGGAGATTGTCTTGACCATGTCTACATGCCTAAATGCACTAAGTTGTCGCCATGATAAACAGCATATAGTGTGTGTAGCGCTTATAAAATTTGTACAAATGTAGCAAGAAATGCTGCTTTTCTCTTTAAACAAAATACACCCCGATTTTCATGTCAAGCATAAAAAAAGAGCATGCATAATTTTGCATAGGACCAATTACATCAGACTAATAGTGTCCCTACCAAAGTTGAAATTAAACCTACGCCCTTGAATGAGACAGGCCTTAATAGAACCCAGAGCCCATTCAGTTAACTGGTGAGTGAAAGAGGGCTACATAGGTAACTCCTAAATCAGAAGACCCATTTAGCAGGACAGAACGGTAACATTATACTGAGTAAAACAAGAGTATAGACTTGTTTCCTTGTGAGCTTCACTCATTTCATACAATGAAATGAATGCTATGATCTGCACACTACATATTGGTTATACATGTTGGGAGCTGGAGAAGTACCACCTTTCTCCAGCAGAGTCCTCCTGAGCCGAGCCTTCGATGCACCTGTGGCTCGTCCCATCATCAGAGGATCCACACTATAAAAGCTGTCTTCAGACCTTGCCTCGACGCCGCAGTGTTGAATCTAGTTGGTTAGCACCTGAGCCAAAGAACCCTCTGAGAAATCTTTATTGCTCTTTGAGTCCTGCTTGGATTCTAATCCTTTGTGTCTCTGTTTCCAGGAAACCAGTTTTTCTCTGTAAGCTCTGGATGAGCTTAGACTGCCGAGCCTGCCCTCTGGGCCAAACCCGAAGACTCTTCTCTGGATTTCCCATGCAGCTCTGGATTAAGAGCTGGAAACCAAAAGCCAAGGTCTGCACCCTCATCAGAAGTAAGACGCTGAAGCAGTTAGTGGACTCTGCTGAAACAAACCTTCTCTGGACCCAACAGCTCCTCTCTCTGAGTTCAAACCGGAACCCTCAAGGTATAAATCTGAACATCACAAAACCAAACCCCTTTGCTCCCAAGCTAACTGCTCTGTTATCTACACAGACTCCAGTGAACCAGTCCCCAGGCCTGAACCAGTTCCAGTCATAATTCCATGTGCTTGTGAACAATAAACATTGTTAAACTTTTACTATTGTTTCCGTCTCCGTGGTGTTCTGCATAACTGGGTCTCATCAGTGAACCCATCATGACAGAACACTGCGGCCAAACACAAGGCCCAGCAGATCACCTCCGCCGTCGATTGGAAGAGCAGGAAGCTCATATCCATGGACACGCTCTGGCTCTTCATGAGTTAAATACCCATATTGAAATGCAGAATCAAATGCTTCAGACCTATGCTAACTACATGAACAGCGCTAACGCCACGCCGGCGGCGCAAACATTTCCGGGTCCAGTTCCGCCTCCGAGGTCACCGGCAGTGACGTCATCACCAGAGTTCCGCCCAAGTCTCCCAGAGAAATTTTCTGGTAATATGAAGGACTGCAAGGGTTTTTTGTTTCAATGTCGCCTTATCTT